TGTTGTTCCAGCAGCGGCTCGGCCACACGTCATTAGTTCGTTATCATTATTAAGGTGCAAGAATACTCCTCCCTTTTTTTTCACATCATGTCGCCTGCCTGGATCTGTTATTAGCTCGCTCTGAAGCATGGAGGAGTGTCAGGGGTAAGCTCGTTTCAACTGCTTTTTATGACGCGGTCTCATTTCCGGACTCAATAATTTTGTGAATGAAGCCAAAATTTCAGTTAAAATACATAAGTAAAAATATTTATCCGAGTATAGTACTACCCCCAACTTTATGGATGATTTTATGGATTAAATTTTACGTATGATACTTGAATTTGTAATTTTACAGTGTATTTTTTTTGGTATACAGTACTGTTGTTAAAAAAATCCTAAAAGTGGAAAATGACTGTCTAAAAAATAAATACAAAGCTAAATAAATAAAAAAACAACATGCTAAAAGCTTAAAAAAGCAGAACAGTGATTAAAATGAAAAAGTAGCAGAAGGCTAGAATGATGCTAAAAGGCTTGCTAATGGTCAAAGGTAGCAGAATAGTAGCACCAAATAAGCAAACAAAATTAAAGCACATGTGTGGAAGAAGATTTTAAGTTGAACAAAGATTTTAAAAGAATTGAGAAGATGTCAGTTTGTTTCACGGTCAATGTATTTGTTATTACAATTCATTATTTAGAAAAATATGAGTTTTAAAAACAGAGTCACACAGTGGCACCCATCACCTGTAAAGATCTATTGAAAAAAAAAAGAACCAAACAGGGAACAAATCAATAGTGTGAATGTTCAGTCAGCGTTATTAGGAAGCTTTAGAAGCTTTTAGACAGCAAGTGCTAAAAGCTCAGCTTTCATTTAGTGAAAACGGTACAGTTTCCTCACAGAGTACAGTGCTTTTTATTTGGATACAAAATGGCAGCCACACCATCCGGACATGGTCAGAGAGCAACTCTGACCCAAATTTTCAAATCCCTCAGAATCACAATGAGACACAGTTAAACACGCAGCCATGTTGCTGTGCTGGGAATCTCCTTCACAACGCAGCTCTGTGATTAATTTGATGAGATTTTAAAAACTCTTGATGAGAGTGGCTCCACTACAGGAGCAGAACGTTTCATTCGAGCCAGATTATAAAAGGCTTTTTTTTGTGAAATGTCAAATAAGACTTGGAAGAAGTCAAAGTTGTCTTTCAGTTTGGTGTTTATAGAGGTTTTCCTCTTTTCTTTAAATGAAACCTTACTGGTTTGACAGGTTTCTGAGTGTCTAATTGAAAAAACAAAGAGCTTTGCGGGGTAAAAATAGATAGTAATCAGTAAAACCACTGACAAGTCTTTGCAATAATTACCATGTGACGCTCCTCTGTAAAATTATAGGTCCTGTTATATTTAACACATACCTGTCACATAGTTATCGCTGAGAACTAACTGCCTGCTTCTCTCACACGCTGTAAAGACAAATATCGACCTTTTTCCAGGACAGTTTTTCCTTACTTCCCTTCCCGACGCTCAAACCAGGGATTAATTAGCTTTCAGGTAGTTTCACACCTTAAATTAGGTCATACTTTCTGAAGCATTAAATCCGATCTGTCAAGTGCGTTTGCCATTTTCTCAGCCATTAAAAAGCAACTTAGTTGTTTTCTCATCATCACTTAATTATTCTCTGTAGCTGTTTAATCCTGAGCTGGGTCAGGAGGCAGTCATTAGGTGTTGCATGCCCAGGTCAGGTCACCAGTTCAGGGCCGTATGCAATAGGGTCAGTTTAGTCTCAGTTACCCTAACATGCATTTTTTGGTCCAAACTCCAAAAGGAAAGGCCATGGTAGAGAGTAAAACCTAAGACATGTCTTGTGCTGCAACAGCGCTGACCACCACAAATCTTGTCTTTATAGTTTAACATTTAGTGGAATAAAATTCATTTTATATGTTTTCTGCCCTTCTAATTCTGGATTTTGTTTCAGGTTTTGCCAATTCAGATAAGCGTTTGAGACAGCTGCAGTATTTTTTTTAAATGTCAGAAACACATTTTTCCTTATTCTTTGAAGAAATGCACATTACTCACCACCTTTCAGGCCAGGATTTTAAGCTGAGAGCGTTTTATGATGAGAAGGGGTAGCAGTATTTCCATTTTATTCCAAGCCGTTGCCCTATCACATCAAAGATTAACTTCAAGAGCTGCAAATCTGAGCATATGTCTCAAGTCAAGCTTCATCCATTTGTTGGTCGCTTAAGACACTGCTCTGCACTGAAGTCTACCCCAAATCATAGGCTGCTTCAGAAAAACAAAGTCGGTAAGTTTATTTTTATTTCTTTTACCAAGTCGGTGTAATTCGGGAATTCATCATGGACCAAAGAATTTGTTTTTTAATGTATGTTTAGCAAATTAACTGATAAAGTTTATGCTTCTACCGATACTAGAGCTAAATCTAAATCATTAAAGTTTTTTTATTAACCTCTTTAAAAAACGCAAACCATCATTTCCCGTTTTCTATGTCTTAACTTCTGTTAACTTAAGAGCTGTAAGTTGAACCTTGACATGTTTGGTATGAATAGAAAGCTAAGAATCTAGGCTAAAAGCAACTTGGATACAGCCTATGTTTACAATTAGCTGTGGCAGCCATCTTGAATAAGGTTGACTCAAGGAGTTAATTAGTTGTAGATGTACATCTTTCTGAGAGATTAATGAAAATTTGTCCAGTGGTTCAGTAATCGTTTTGCTAACATGAGCCGTGGTAGGGGTGAGGATGAGGGTGGGATGGTGCGATTGTGTATGTTTGGGTATTTGTCAGGCTGCGGTCTGGGCTGCCCCTACTGCTGGTTTATCTGGAGGCCCGCTGCTACTCGGCCCCCCGGTGGGGTGTGCGGCTGGCCGCCGGCGTGCTGGGGGTTCCCGGGGT